GGGGGGGGTGCAGACATCCACTTCCACAGAGCTCCAGACACGATGACAAACCTACACAGAGAAAGAACATGGTCTTGTTTTAGCTTTCTGTCAGAGGAATGTGTTAGCAGACACAACATATTGCATTATTATTATTAAACAGCATGAAACTGGCATGTGATATCGGATTTAACTGTCACAAGATGTTTTCCCTAACCCTAATGTCACACATTTGGTTTCTTTACCTTATCGGTACTGTTGTGGATCCCAATCCAAAGCAGCTTTTAGCACATTTTGTTTTGTGAATGCTGATCACTTAAAATTTGTGAAGTCTACTTTCAGAAAAAATCTTGATATTTGCCAGTGACTTCTGTCTGTTTACAAAAAAAAAAAAAAACTCAGAAAAACCACCCTTAATTTTATCTTCAGGTCTGGGAACCACTTTTCAAGCATCAAATTGAACTTGCATGTTGTTATTGTTTAAGGCTCAAATTCTTCTCCTTATGCTTTGCTATTTCATGACATATGAGATATTTTAGTTTAGCAATTGCACAACAGGTTTACAACAAGCAACAAGCATGTCTACATCTTAAGCAGAATAACTGATGGTAGTAGTGCTGTAGATTACTGTTATGCCTAAACCCCAGCCTGTTCTACAGAGAAAAACTATACGAATGTTATCCGTAATGAGAGGAATCTGCAGTTTCAGCATACTATCAGTAAAGATGTGTACCTTGGGGGTTTCTGGATCAGTCAGTCTACATGAAGTCCTTAATATTGAGGTCATCCAGAGCGTTCCTGGGTGGTGGAGGCTTCCTGGGGCTCTGGGCGATTCCAGGAGACATCTGTAAAACACCTTATTTTAGCACTCATATTCCTTCTTTTGTCATTGTAACCTGTGCAAATAATAATATTTTCCATTGTAAAAAAAAAATCAAGTGTGTTACCGGTGCTCCTGGGGTCACCCCAGCGGCTGGGAAGCCTGGTCTCGCCATTGGCATCATGGGAGCTCCAGCAACTGGTGCTCCGGCCTGATGGAATGGAAAAGAGTCAATAAAACTAGATGTCTGTTATTTTATGGGTGTGTGAGGGCCACCCAAAGGGGGTGATTGTCCATTAGTTATCCAGTAATGTCCTGCCTGGGCATTACTAGACTGGACTGGAGGTCTTACCATGGTGAAGCTAGGGTGAATCCCCATAAAAGGACTGACACCCATGGGTATGGTCTAAAGGTGTGGACGAGAGGGGATGGAGAGGAGGAGGTGGGATGTTACTATACTACATTTCAGATGAAAATATGGCAAAATGAACACAGAAAACAAAAATTTAAGGTAAAAAAAAAAAGGACAGACACACCAAATGCTGGACAAAACAAACTGGCACACAAGAAACGAGGACACGCCACAACAGAAAGCCCAACTTCATCTTCAGTTTTTGTTGTCTATTTGCATATGAACAGGGGTTCAGAGAGCAGTGAAGCTTGTTTCATGTAGCCTTCAGATGGAAGCGTCAAACCAACTGCAATGTCCAGGTTTGCCTCAACTCAATCAGGTTTCAAACAAAACTCAAAAATTAATAGCTGTTTCCAAGCAACAGCTTCTTAATGCAGTACTATCATTTCCCCCTTCATCACTCTCCAGTAAATATTCCAGAAACACACATTAGGCTGAATTAAATTTATGCCCTGCTTCCTAGCTTTATGGTACACCTGGAACCTGGAGAGCTGGGCCATATTGAAAAGAAAGAGGACAAATCTCCAAAACATAAGCATTTGTTATAAGTTTTTTTTTCCTGTTTCTTTTCCATATGGTGATGAAGGCGACACTTGTGACTGCTGCTACAGGTTTGCCCTATCTGTCGCTGGCATGCGGCTCCACTCCATGCTTTAAGACACAGACAACATTTACCATCGGAGCACCCCAACTTGGGGGAGCTACCTGAGGGGCCGCTGGAGTTCCCATTGTGAGATCTTGGAAGGAAAGAAAGAGAGAAAAAAGGTACTGCAAAAAAATCTGTCGCATCATTTGTAACTTGTAATTTACTGCAGTGATTTCTAAGTTACAAGACAGAAAGTCAGTTAAAGTAGATGTTTGCCATTTTAGTAGATGAGTTTCTTTGCTTTCTTTTAACAGAGGTGGAAAGATTAATAAGTTGGCTTATCTTTAACACAAGCACTCTTAAAGTTCACAAGAATGATTTACTTTCATAAATAATTTTAAGTGTAAAGAAACATATTTGTGGTTTATAGGGGAGTTAGAGCTACTGCTGCTATTTTTACTTGACTTTTTTTAAAATTGTGAACTAAGTGTCAGATGGAGTCACACACTCAAAAAATGACTCTTTGCCCTCATAAACTTTAAGCAACTCACTCTGTGAGTTTGGTGCTATCAGAGGTTTCTTCCTTTTAAAAGGGAGTTTTTCCTTCCCACTGTCACCAAGCACTGGCTCATAGGTGGTCATCTGATGATTGGTGCTTTCTCTGTAATTTTATAGAGTCTTTACCATACAAAATAAAGCAACTTGAGGTGATTGTTGATGTGATTTGGTCCTATAGAAATATAACTGATTTGAACTGAATATTGAATAAATGTAATGATTGTACGCCACTCAAATAAAATTCATTTCACCAAATTCCCAAATGTTTTACATTGTAACAAAATTATAAGTATTCAAATTACTTAGTTAGCATTTTGGGCATGTGTACCATAAATAGGTTTGGCTCTGTTAAATATAAAAGAAAATGTGACTGCCAGCACATCTAACGTTCCCAAGACTGCTTTTCTCTTTTGTTTAATATGTAAAGAAGTAACTCTCAAGCCTTTCACAATTTATTTAGAATGAATAAATAAAGCAAACCTTGCAATTTAAGAATCTCTGCTGGAGAACAAACAAGCATGTTTCTCAAAATGTTAATTTACTGCATTACATAGTCCAGAAATCTAGAAATCTAAAACTCTACTTACTACTTGCCATGTTAGCCATAGAGGTGTCAACATCCCCAGCCTGGGGAGTCACTGTGGGCTTCATTACATCCCCTAGGCCATCAAATACTACAGCAGGGAGGAGGTGCAACAGGGAAGGGAGAAGATGGACAGGGGAGGGCGATATTAGTATCCTTCACTACAAGCAATTCTCACACTCTACTACAACTCAGGAGCAGGCCTTCTTATTACTTGGGATATTACCATGACAACCAACAGATGTCTCCATGACAACAGCGAAAAGAGAGCATTGAAATGTAACCTACTGAGGAAGAGTTGGTTCATTTAAAATACGACATATGGTTTCTTTTTGGAAAATACTAAATCTTAGTGAATTTCAATCATGTGAAATAGAATATAACATAAAACCATCGAATATATGACTCAGGAGACATCTGTTATGATCAATTGCAGTAAGATAAAGAACTTTAAAAGTACATATATATGTGGGACAGATATAAACCTGAGCTTGCTTCTGCATAGCATCAAACATGATGTCAAGAATGCGACCGTTAATGTAGTTTTCCCATGAGTTTGTGACTGCTGCAGAAACTGGCATGAGGGCAGAAGCACTGAAGCTAGAATGAAGCTGGGTTAAATGCTAAAGAAGCACTGAATAATAACTGCTACTTCACACAGTCCTCATAACCGTCAAGCATCTGGTGTTTCAGGAGAAAGTGCAGCTGAGCTTGCCTTGCACCACCGCAATGCAGTGCACTGTGGGAAATTAGCGTGTTAAAGAGCAAGGGGACTCACCCAATCAAATGGCAGGAAGCAAGAAATGAGCCAGCCCAAGAGCCAGATGGAGAAAGAGAGCGAGGGAGAGAGAAAGAGAGGAGAGTAAAAAAAAAAAGCACAGATGCCAAAGAGAGAGGGGGGAAAATGCAATGAGGTTTCAATAGAGTGTTTTTTTCTAAGGAGGTTATTGTATGGTTGATAGAAAGGAAGGAAAAGAGAAAGAGTTAAGCCTTAAAGCAGAAGTATTGCAGACCATTAGTTATATAATATGAGACCAGCAGCACAAAAGGAGAGGACCAGGAACCACATAAGCAGGGATCAAGTATTGAAAGGTGAGAAAGATTGGAGGATTTTCCGAAGAATATAAGTCGTCATAAGCAAAATGTGATGCTGTTATCATGAAACTGAAGCAAAAACCAAGCCAGCAGAAACATGCACCATTTTGTGTGGCACAAACAATGTTGATGTATGTTGCTCTTAAAAGTTAATAAATACAATCCAAAGAGAAGCTGCTGACAGCAAACTATTTCATTAACCATTACCAAAGTTAATAGAAACAGTAAGTGATACATCCACTGACATGAAACAGCTAGTCTGGCAAGCAAACCGATTTTAAGATTATCAAAGAAAGTGTTAGTAAAATATTGTAAAGTGATATTATGGTATTAGCAGGACAACAACAATGAGTGTTATTACAAGATGAACAGCTGTAGCCATGGATGAATGATCAGGTTAGGGCCTCTGAGCTAAGCAGAAACCCCAACCTATTCTTTTTTGGACAGGGCATCCAGGGCCCAAAAGACAGGAGAAGCAAGGTCGATAGAACTATTAACACATCAAAGTTCCACAATATGTTTAATAAGTCATGTTAACTTATCAACCAAAGCCTTACTGTATTCAAACAATATATTATTACTAATATTATGAATCAAATCCTTTTGTGCTGTCTGTCATTTGCAGAACATGCATGTGAACCTGTTGATGTCAAGTATGCAACTGTTTTTGTTTTTGGCAAGTGTCAGAAAAAAAACAGAGTAGCTCCTCTGTTTAGCAAGCCAAAGCAGAAAAAAGTGGTCCTTAAAAGAGGAAGGAGAGTAGAGGGGAGGACTTTGGACTTAAGGAACTTGAGCAGCACTGACTTTGCTGAGAGCATGGTCTGAAAGGTGAAGTTCTGATGAGTGAGTAGTTTGTTACTGCATATATATTAATAATATAGACTCATATTTGGAGCGCATGAGTCCATCATTGAAATAATTGTTGAGTGGGGAACTCTATAAATGAGCGTGCTTGTTTGGTACCATGACGCCATCCAGTCAGTCTGTGAGGACCTCTGGTTAATGTTCTCTCTTTTATTCCACGCTTACAGACTTTACAAAACAATACCATCAGTCTATTTCCACTTTAAACTCGACAAAAACAAACCTTAATACAGAGGCTTTAGCTCAGGAGCCTCCAGACCTGTGCTCATAATATCTGTTATGAAATCCATCCATGACCACAATACATGCAGTGAGAGGGAACTATTTCATACAAACATGATGATATAACCTTCACTGATCACATTCAGGTTGGCACTTCCACATCTGAGGATTTACCTGACATCAGTTCAGCACCGGGGGCAACAGGAGCAGGGGCAGCAGCAGCAGCTGGGGCATCTCCTCCTGTAGGCTCTGGCAGGTCAACCAAAAAACATAAACACAGTCCACCATTCATTCCATGACAGGGTCGCAGTGGGTCGAGCCATTTCCATCGCAGCATTAAGGCAAAGAAGGGGAACAATCAGCCTTCAGCTTCACACTATTAATGTCAGACAAAATGCTTAGAGTTAGAAAAGAGGGCTTGAAAGCATGAGCGCAGGATTTTCGATTTCAGAAAATGAAAACATCACACACACATACTGCTTATAAAAATGGCCTTTTCACATGTAACACTCAGATATGCACAGCAAGGAATTTTAGTTGTTAGATTTGGGCTCATAATCCTATTTTTCTAGAGGATAAATGAGAGCAAGTATAATTGTGCTGAAGTAGTGTAGCCACTTTTAGTTTAAAAGGAAGAAAATCTTGAGCCAGAGTCATTATTAGCAGTTGATAAATACTTTGACTCATCTCAGCTATCTGTGTGCGAATCTCCAATAATGTATCCACCCACATGAATAGCAAAAACAAAATATACAGCAGCAACAATCGCAATAGCTATGATCATAAAGGAGAAAACCTGATGGTTTCAAAATCACTTGTTTCATTTTATGTCCTTCGCTTCCTCAGCGTGAACAAGAGAGGCAGAGTGAGGGGAGGCGGTCATGTGAGTTACCCACCACCAAACAGATTCATGATGGCTCCTGTGTCAATTTTGGATGGGGGTGCTGAGGAGAGGATGGGGGCAGAGGAGCTGAACACATCCGCTGAAGGAGGCAAGGTGGAGATTATGTTTTTAGACCCCAAACACGCACAAATACACACTAAACACACAAACACACACACACACACAGAAACTATTCATTATAATGCACAGTGCGCTTTTATCAAGTTCAGTTGCAGTGCACGCAGTACATGCCGGAATAAGAAAAGAGGTAAGTGTCATTCACTAAATGCTTCAGACAGCTCAGTGGCTTTCAGCTGACCCATAACAGAGCAATCTCATTTCCTTCTTTTCTTCCCTGATCAAAGCCAAGGACAAAGCTGAAAAACACAAACAGCAAGACAGGATATGAGAGTAAGAGCACGCGCAAGATGGCAGATTGAGTGCAAAAGGGTACCTGCTGAAAACAAGTCAGCACTGGGAGCGAGGTCTGTTTTGGAGAAGCTCGTGTCTGGCATGGAGTTAAAGATATCTACAAATACATGCGCACCCAAGACAGGAATATTAAAAAGCTCAAACTCTTTCAACTGGAGAGGCAAAGCTGCAAACATGTGCACATTTTCCCTCATAAAAATAATGACAAAAAATGGCAAACAGCCTCAAACCACAGAGTCAAGAAGACACCAGCCTGCCTCAGTATGATGCGATAGTTACTAATGCCGGATCACACAAATCTCCAATGTTTACCACTGAAAAGGTCAATCCCAGGGCTGGTGGTGCTGGCGGCAATAGGAGCTGAAATGGTTGCAGTGGTGGTGATGGTGTTGGATGAGGAGGTGAAGAGCGGTGAAGGGGAATGGGAAGGGGAGGGCTGGGGCACACCCGAGCTAAAACAGGCATCCAGGGAACTAGCCGGGTTATTGCTCTCCACTGACATCATGCCGAAAAGGTCTAGACCTGAAGACGCTGCGTTGGTGCTACCATCTGAGGGAGCAAAGGGGTCTTTTGGGAGGAAATGGGGGGTATTGGGGGGTAGGAAAGAAATGTAAAACATTGAGAGAAGGGGAATGTTAGACATTGACTTTGATACAAAAGAGAGCAGACATATGGCACTGAGCAAAGGCTTAGGTCAATTCTAGACATTAGATATCTGGTCCCCCGCAGAGGCCTGATCCCAATATCAATGCGTCAGTCTGTCTTTACACAAAAAGACAGTGAAAAGTGAGAGACAGGCTGACACAGAAAAACTGCAGCAAGTGCTTCAAGATGCTTTGAAAAATGTTCCTTTGAGAACTGGTGCTGCATCAAAGAAAAAGTGCAAGCACAACAATTACTGATTTGAGGGTGAACTTATGAAGCTACTCACTGCATTATTTTTCAACATTTTTGCACAATACTGTATGTTTTATCAGAATCAGAATCAGAATCAGAAAGGGGTTTATTGCCAAATGTTGAGCAGGTTTACAACATTAGGAAATTGCTGCGGTGCTTCAGTGCAAACATAGTGTCATAAATAGCACTTAAATAGACATGAAAAAATAAAAGTAGGGATAAGAATTAAAAGTGCTACGTAGAAAGATATGTGCATGAGCTATACATGAGATATATACATGAGAATAAGAATTAAGGATTAAGAATTATGTAACGGTTACAGGAGTACCGCAATAACCACAAGAAGGAGGTCAGAGAAATGGAAAACATCAGATGGGAATGATAGGAGGTGAAAATGTGCAGAGCTCCAACATACTCCTGCTGTCAGTCGTAACAGTTACAGCTATAAATAGCATCTGTGATGGGAGAGAAAATGACAAACAACTGGAGCGGATATTAAATCCTTTCACAGTCCATAACGTTAGGAACTTCAAATAAAACCAGGCAGTCTTCTCCATAACAGAAAGTCTAAAGTTTTCTTGTGATGACAAAAGACAAGCATGAATATTTTTGCTCTTGAACGCCAATAACAAGATTTCCCTTCCATACCCAAGCAGTAATGATGAATGAATCCATACTACCTGCACAAAGACGTGAGTTTAAACCCTCATTGACCTTTACACATTCACAACCACAGGCATCTACATCTTTCTCTGTAAAGTTATAACATTTTCTTCTTTCACAGTTATAATAAAAGAAATACAAAAACAACATAACAAACAATATATTCCATTAAAGTCCTGTATTTTAACAACTCTTTGTTGTGCCCATGTTATCTCCATGTTCTGAGTTCAATCTACGGAAATGCACAGAAGTCGAAAGAATACCTTCCTAACTAGGAAAATAAAGTATGTAAGTAAAATATAGTAATTATTGATGAGAAACTCTGACTCACACAATTGCATTCTTCTACCGTGACACTATCGAGAGTGTGCTGGTGCACGCCATCCCTGTGTGGTACGCTGGTTGCACAACAGCTGACAAGAAGAGACTACAGAGGGTCATCAGAACTGCAGAGAAGGTGATCGGCTGTCCACTCCCCTCCCTGGACTTAATTGCCAGCTCAAGATGTCTCTCCAGAGCCAGGGCAATTATAAAGGACCACCTCCATCCTAGCCACCACCTCTTCAACATCCTTCCCTCTGGAAAAAGGCTCAGATCCATCAGGTGCAAAACCAACAGACTAAAGAACAGCTTCTTCCCGTGGGCTGTCAGAACTCTTAATGCAAACTAAGAGTGTGTAAAGACTTCCCCAACACATCCACCCTGACACTGCTGTTGATCATCTATGTGCAATATCTCAGTCTTTCCATGTTCTGTGCAATATTTTTGGCTCATGTGCAATTATTTTGGTCCCAGTCTGTTTCAATGTTTCCTACACATACACCATGTATATAGTTCCACTCACATATGTATACATGTACACTGTTTTTTTTAAAAATTCTATTTATTTAATTATTTATTTATTTCCCGCCTTCGTTGTATATTGGTTTCTCTTCTTCTTACTTTATCACCTTTGTGGTTCAGCTACCCAATTTCGCTGTGCAAGAAACTGCACAATGACAATAAAAAGCTCTAAGTCTCTAAATAAATATGCGCATTTTGAAAAGTTACAGGAGAAAATATAAAGCCAGGATAGCGTGACTCAACGTACACAAACAAAAGCTAGCATTATTTTAATAGTTACACCTGTACCTTTTCTACTGTGAGTAGGTTTTTTATTACTCTGTGTAATAACAAAAACAAAAACAAAACAACAACTTTGAAACAATTGGTTTTTATTTTAGATAGCTGTAGCTGTTGAAGTCAGCAAATCTTTAAAGCTAATTAAGCTAATATTAGCATCACAAATTCGCTCACAGCTTCTTTCCTGTTGAGGTTTTGAGTTTTTAGCTAACTTGCTTTGCTGTATTGTTTGTATGTTTTCATGCAGAAAACATGTAAAGAAAGAATTGCTTAACTGCATGTTTTTTGCTGTTGTTGCACATACACACTCTCTCTCACACAGACAGATGTTGGTCACCCACCAGTTCCAGCGTTGGCAGCTGGGGTGGATGTAGCAGCAGCCCCACCTTCAGCTGCTCCTGCGGAGGCCTCAGCGGCAGGAGCAGGACTTGCGAAGGCTTCTGCAAAACCCCAGGAGAGGACAGAAACGCGGAGAGAGACAGATGAAGAAATAAGGATAAAAAAGAGAGAGTCAAAAAGCCAGAGGAAAACAAGACTATTAAGAAAAAAGAACATAAGATTAAAGCGTTTAAGTTGCAGAAGCATTTTTAAGCTGTTTTCGGCTTTTAGAAACAGCAGCGTACAGAACTGTTATGTGACATCAATGACTGACAGGTGAATGAGCAAATGGGAATACAGACAGGAGGCATTACAGCAAGGATTAATCTAGTGCACAAAGAGCCGAATAAGCCAGGACTCTACAAGTGTTACAGCTGCCATCTGTAGCTGTAGACATGTGACAGGGTTTGATAGAATTGCTTTTCAGAGATCAAAGAAAAGCATTACGGCCTATCAAACAGGACGCATGAGTGCAGCAGTGTATATACAAGCCAAAAGTGAACATGTGGTGAGTATGTGGAGAATATCTGTAGAAATATTAAGTCTAAATCTGATTGTACATTTTGTATGGATTAAAATAATGTGATTAAATGTGATTGCTTTCCCAAAAAAGCACATCACATAAAACTGCATACCACCGATAAACGATTAAAACACAACTCATCACTAAACTGCTTGTTAGTCATTCTTATTATCATATTAGCTAGTTCATTCATTTAAATTCTATATTGAGATATTTTTCACATCAGAATTTCACTTTTAGTAATTTAAATAATGACACTTTTCATGACACTAAAGCATTGTTACTGCCCACATAGTTACACACTTTACCCAAGTAAATTTCTTCCAAGAAGGAGCAACCCTGAATGGTGACAAGATTTCATGTACCTCTCCAAATCTGATCAATTCCGCTCATAACATTTTGAAACAAAAGTTGTAATTGCAATACTGTACTTAGCTGCGGTGTGCTGTGGAAATAACAGCTCATGGATAATTCGGACCACCCTGTGCACCACTTAGTGCACAGTACTTTTAGTAATAGACTGATTTTTTGTTTGTTGCTACATGATCAGACACAGGAAATCTTTTATACCACACGTTAGCCACTATACCACTCTCTGTAATACAGTAGATTATTATTATGTCACGGAGCACAGGAAAAGCAAGCCAACGGTCCAGAACTACAATCCTGGCTGTGCACAAATTCAGCCAAGCAATGAACTGATCAAGAACAACTGGCATGCAACATCTCTCAAAGCTATGCTAGAATCATAGTTTATTGAACAGGGTTTGATGCATCAACTGCAAATTAAGAATGCCCTATTTTGCCCCCAAATCTTTATCTAGCAAACCTTTCAACTATGACGAGAAAAACCCCACTCAGCACAGCCACGCATGCCTGGGAGTGGAACCTAACCAGTCAGCCGGCTTTTTTGTCTTTGGCCTGTGGTGGTAACGCTGTCTGGATTTACAGTTTCTTGTAAATCTTGTAGAGTTTCTATCAGAAGAAACTTTGCAATCTTCACCTTGTAGTTAGACCCTTCATGTTCACCCAATATGTGCTCCTGTCACTAATGTGCACACTCTGTGAGCCCAAAGCAAGAGGCACACCTATTGAGTCTCCTCACTAAGAAACACTTTTAATAACCCTGCTGAAGTATAGACAGTGATAAGTTACAGATTAATCTTGTGAAATAAGTCAGCATTGCTGCAGGGTAGCTGATAGTTCCCCCAACTCTACCCTCACACGACAATGAACAGCGTCACAAGAAAACGAACATAGTAACCTCCAAAATGGCAAACCCTAGTTCACAAACCATCTTTTCTACACAACCTGCATGGAAGCTTTTCTTTCTTTTCACCTTCTTTTAACGCTGAATAATATCAATGCCGGCCAAAATTACGATCAGCATCTTGTTAATAAATTGCTGTTTTTAGGGCATCAACGTCAAAAAGATGCTAACAGAGGCAGGGACTACTACACTGTCATGAACTGTGGCATTAGGAAATGAAAAGTGAAAATTCATGTGATAAGTTTTTCTAAACATTGAGTAGCATTGTAAGCTATTAAGTGTATATATTTTGACATGGTTAATCCATAATCAAATGTATTTAGTCTGTTTAAATATAACTAAATAATGCGGGGCTATAATTTTAAGGCAGTTGATAGGGATGTGCATCAATCCAGTACGCAGTGAGAGTTTTTGATGATACAACTTTGCTTGCAGTGGACAGACAACAACTGCCATAATTCAGCAAAGTTCTGTCTACATACTGTACGTGTTTGAGCATGCAGTCGTCTGTGTTATCATATCGTGTGATGGGTTTTACAGTTGAGCTTCCCAGAGTGATTCCTTCGTAGAGAATTTTCTGGAAGCCCACTGACCTCCCAACAGATCCACATTGGCGGCGCCAGGGGAGGTGGCAGCTGCTGTGCTAGTGGGAGGAGCTAGAGAGACTCCAGGTTCTGCTGCTGCAGGAGTGGGCGATGCCGCTGCAAGGGAGGGGGTGGGCTCAGCCGCGAGGGTGGGTTCAGATAGCAAGGAATCGCCCATTTCTTCCAGTACCATCAGGGGTGTTTGAAATCCCCATAGAAAGGAGGCAAAATAAACCACAAAAGAGGAACCAAAATAGCCAGTGGAGTCACCGTTGTGAGAGTGAAGGAAAAAAAAAGCCAAAAGAAAGGTCAATCCAAATAAAGCCCAATAAAGATCATTTAGAAGTGGCCAAAAAAAAGAAGAAGAAAAACCCGTATTTTTAAACAAATTAAAAGTCGCCAAATGATCCAGCATTGTCCAGTCATAACCAAGAAATAGATATTAAAAAGCAATCAACCAAAATAGCCCCCATTATAAACCAAAAACAGACAATGGAGTATGTGGAGGGAGGGGAGGGAGAAGGCAGAGAGAAACAAAGAGAGTACTCAGACTAAGAGAACAGCTTGAGGAGACAAACAGGGAAGTAACCATGTGACACTGCTGCAATGTTGTCTATTTTTATATTTTCTAAATAGAGAAACAATATATTGCCTCCAGGTTGCTTCAATTTCATATTACAGCAAGAAAACCAGTAAAATCAAGGCAACCTGGAGGAGGTTTTAAGAATGGACTAGTCTGGACCAGATCCTACAGGTGAAGTAAAGAGGAGGAGTTGCACTCACCTGATCCAAGAAGATCTACGGAGGCAGAAAACAAAGAAACAGGGAGAAGATATGTCTTGTTCTGGAGATTTGATTTGATTCTCTAGTCAACTCCAATGAAAATAGACTGTTACGTGTTCACTAAAAGGACTAGATTACCTGTCGTTCTTTCTAACAATGACTGCGACGAAAACCATGTGCATGATATCAGCAGCTGTTCTAAAGAAAGGAGGGCCACTTACCTCCCCAAGATGTGGGGGCAGCTGATGGTGCTGAAGGGCCAGTAGAGGCCAGTGGATCCAGATCTAGCAATGAACTGGAAGATGATAAGGTTTTAACCACACTTTTCTGAGTGAAAATTTTCTGCTGCACATGATCAATAGTTTACTTGCACTTAATCAGCTGGGTGAGGTTAAAATAGCACTGTTGGCGTGACATTTTGTTACCTAGCACTAAAAAAAGTGGAGACAACATCGTGGGAAATGTCTTGTTTCTGAGATCATTTACCCATCATCCAAATTATACATGTGAACTGAATGAAATTATAAACTAAACTGGGCAAGCAGACACCAAAAAATCACAATTCGTGATTTCTCTCTGTCTGTTAAAATTCTGTCGTTCCCAATCACTTCCACTTTGTTATAATACCACTAACAGCTGACTGTGGAATATTTCATAGAGAGGAAATTTCACACTGGACATGTTGCACGGGTGGCATCGTATCATGGTACCATGCTGGAATTGGATTGATCAATTCTGATGGGTGGTGATTACTTTTGGCAATACTGACAATACAGATACAATGTAAGTATATGGTATTTTATAGATGTTAACAAAATCCAATGTTTTTTGAAAGGTTGCATTGGCGGGGTATTTACTAGAAATAGGAACCTACTCTTCGGCCGGTTCAGGAGCAGCTGAAGCAGCAGCGCTGCCAGCACTGTCCCCAGGAGGAGGCTGCAATGTGGGAACAGCATTTGAAGATTTGGCTGGAGTTGACGTTGGAGACACATTGTTTGTAGGAGATCCCTGGAAAGTAGACAGACAAGCCCCCTTTCAGTGCTGATTCACAATATAAAAGGCTAAAGAAAAAAACAGACTACTTTAAATGTGCATCTTACCTTTGTTGGAGACCTGAAAGTGGAAGAACAAGAGGAGGTATAAGTGATGTGCTTAAAACAAACTGCTTGACAAAAGCTCAATTTTACAGATCATTTTAAACTCAATATCGGGGATTCAAACAAACATTTAAGATAGACTGCATCATATGTGATCATATGAAGAGTTAATTTCCAAAGTACCATAATATGTAATCAAGTATGAAAACAAGAATAAAATCCAGTCCATAAGATTTGTTAAATCAGTCTGATTTTGCCAGCTTTTATTTCATTTTCAGTTTGACTTGGGAATGAAACCCTTCATATAGCGATTCACATTGCATATTAGCGTATGACAGTACACATGTGGTGACCTGCTGTTTACCAAAACATGTGTCTCCCAGAGGTCACGCATGTAATCACACCGAGACAGACATTTCCACGTGTGAACTATTAGATTGATCCAGTTCATAATTCACATGTGAATAATGTGCCCATTTATTACCTGGGGGAGGGTGGGGCGAGAGGTGGGACAGTAAATACATCGAAATAATTAGTAAACTGCAAACGAAACATAACACATATGCTCACCCTTCACTGGTGTTTCCAAATCAACGTAAAGGAGAGTAAAAGAGAGGAGGGGTTAAAGGAAACTGTAGAAATACAAAACCTGTTTCTACCAATATTTCTATTGGCTACTCGTGAAAACAAAAGCGGGAGATAGAAAGAGTTATCCTAATGTTTTTACTATGACGTTGCAAAGAAATGTTACGTCTTACCCCTTCTTTCCACCTTTTATATCCTCCAGGCCATTCATGTGGGTTTCCAGAGATTCTAGGATACTGCTGGGAGCCTGAGCAGAACAAAGAAATTTCAAACTGGAATTGCAACTCCACACAAATCTTAAATCATCTCCTCAGATACATTCCAGCCGAGGTTTAATCACCAGAAACAAGAGTGAGAGAAAATCCCACCGCATTAGTCACATGCATGTGTCTATGCACACACAAACACAAGAGTGATTTGTGTGTTTTGTGTGACTTGTTTGTCAAATTAAAGAAAGGTCAACGTGCCAACACTTCATCCTGTAAACAGGCACTCAGCCAAAATAACCCCTTTGTTTCTGTGGTTACCGGTTCCTCGAGAGGTTTAAAGGGGCAGTCCTCGTCATCCGAGTCTGCTAGATCCACCACTACCCCTGGGTGGAGACACTGGGTGGGGAGATGGTGGTGGGTGAGACATGGGCTTCTGTGTATGCATGTGTGTGTGAGAGGAGATGGATGGTATTCATATGCATTATATATTCTTGATCCCATCGCTTGCAAAGTGGGATTAAAAAACCCTGAGAGCTGTGATATGTAACTTACATAGTTGATGTCGGGAATGTCATTTTTGTCAACTCCAACTGTCTGTTAAAGAAAAGAAATATATATATATTTAAAAAACAATATTATCACACTGCACAGACTCAGTTTTTACAGTCACTATGTGAGTCAAAAGAAAAAGGACTGCTGAGGCTACCTCAGCCAGCTTCATGAATTCTCCAATCTTTGTCACCCTGGTCAGGAAACGCTTGTAGATCTCCAAGGCCTCCTTGCATTCACTCTTCTTCATTTTGAAGAATTTCTCTACACACAAAAACAAGAGGTTTGCTGACTGACAAACACCTTGTCCATCTTTTTTGATTATCATCGGTGAAATGAACAAAAAAAACCCTGCAATCTATTCACTTTAAGTGGACTACTAACCTAATAGGTTGATGATCCCATCATTGTAGGATGCAAACAGTTTCACCAAGTCCTTGAAGAGAAGCAGAAATGCAGCATTGATGATCCCATTGTTCAGCTCCTTGGGATGAACCTGAGAGGAGACAGGACAGAGATAAGTAGGGCTGCCTGAGGTTTTGTTCAACCAAATAAATAAAGAAGAAGAAAAAGAAGAAAAAGTGTGCGAATCAAAGCAAAGACGCACATCAAACTCCAGGAGTGTGTCAATCTGTGTCTGCAGAACAGGCATGCCTTTCAGCAGCTTCTCAGTGGTCATGGTTCTCATCACTCCATCAGCGCTGAGGTAACACAACAGAGAGAGTATTTTACACAAAAGAAGAGCCACAGGTTTTAACCACACTGCTAAGTAAAAGCATGTAAAAGAAAATGCTAATGGCCAAACAAGTGTTGCTATGAGCAACTGCATGCACACCGTGTTTACCGTACCCTTTCTTGACTCTGGTGAAGTCAAATGCCATCTGGCGGTAAGCGAAGGCTTTCTCATTCAGGTATCGTCCATACCGCCTGATGAATGTAGACATGTCATAGCCTACACAAAATGAAATCAAAATTAAATGATTGTTGAACAAAAAGCTAATAGGCTTCTTGCTGTCTGCTCGTATTTGTTTCTTGATTATTTCTATTATTTGTCATTTGTTTCTCAACAGCTCACTTCATGCATTGATCTCTTTTTGTCTTAGTGGGAAAATATTTTTTAGAACCTGCAGTAAACAGTGTATCCCTAAAGCAGTCAATATAACAGGAATCACAATTTCCCCGTGTGTAGCTGAGATAGTTTGGTCCATAATTTGCTGAACGCACAATTTTGTAGCCTCTGTACATTACCACAGTGGTAATGTACCACATCAAACAAAAAATATTTTTATGTAGCCCCCATTTGCAGAGGCTAAAATGAATCTGCCAATTCAAGTGAGACCTGTCATCTTATTATTTCATGACAAATGAAGTCACAAGACACAATATTTGATATAATAAGGTTTCATAGCTTTTCACTGTAATTTTAAGAGCCCAAAGGGATGTCAGTGCAAGTGAGCAAGGTCGTCATTTGGCTAAAAATACACCTTTGTGAGGGCCAAATCAGTGATCTGGTACATTCTTAAAAGGAAAAAATGCATTGGCCAGTTAAGCAACTCTAAAAGGTCCGAAATACATCAGAAGACAACAAAATGCATGATGACAGCATTTTTTCCATAGTTAAGAAAAAGGACACTCTTAAGAAAGTAGACATATCATTATCAAGAGATGCATTCATGAATGGAAGATGGCTTATAACAAGGTGCAAATCACTGGTTTCACTCAAAAACAGAAAGGCCAGAATTAGATTTTTAGGACTGGATAATGACCCAAAATACAAAAGCAATGCAACAGTTTGTCGAGGAAAAAAATAAAATATTCTTCAAAGGATCACCTGATTTTTCAGTTATTGAATAAAACCGTACATGGAAAGACCCTGCAATAAAGGTGGCTGCAGTAAAGGCTTAGCAGCCACCTTGCAATGGAACAAATACAGCATTAGGTGATGTCCATGGGTTCTAAACTTCAGCAACCATAAACTGGGAAGGATTTCCATCCAAGTATTAAAAACAGTCCTTATATTTAAAATTATGTTAGTTTGTCCAATTCATTTTAAATCTCTGAAAATGGGGGAGCTGTGTATTTAAAGGGCTGTAATTCTTCAAGTCTGCACTTCACTTAGATTGTCTGGTTGTGTACAGAGATGAAACTACAAAAATTCTATCCTTGTCCAACAAATTATGGATCTCATTAGTTGACACCGATTAAGTCCAAGCGAAAGGTGGAGCAGGAAAGTAGGTGGTTTGAAAAGCGTGCAACAAATTAAACAACACCCTAGATTGAATGTATATATGGAAGGGTAGCGGCTGATCCATCAGCACTAAGATCGGCTGCTGGGATTGTAGCTGATATGTGATATTTGTTATTTTCCTGTTAGTTCCTATTTTTCCTAACTTTATGTAGGTTCTTCTCTAAAATCTCTAACCTAAGGAGCAAAGGATGAGAAAGTTCAGTAATGTGCGGTTATTATCAGATTATCCATTTACAAAGAACGATACACAACGACACAAAGGGAGGATATTACAGTTGATCAGACTGTCGTCTTACCATGAGATCCGGTTTTGTCAATAAAGTTGCTGAGGTTGAACAAGGATGTCCTGGATGCCAAGTACTGAATGAACCTCTGAGAAAGAGAAAGAAAACCCAGTGAACATTCCTGTAGAAGTCAAAGCTGAAAACTACAGCCAACAACACAGCATTGACATCTCTAGTAAGGGTTTTCTTTGTTGTGCTTTTCAAGCTTTTATTCCATTATTTAATAGCTTTTACAGGAGTAATGCACAGTGGACCCATTCCACTAACTTGTGGTCAAAGCCTCTATTTATTTGTGAAACATCAGGCTTCCTGCAAATGCCTTGAAAGACCAATTTCAGCTCTCTAAAGTGGTAATTTCACACCACACCAGACATTTATTATTTATTTCAAAGGGGTGACTGTTTTTGTCAGCAATTAGAAAAAAAACTTTACTATATTAAAGTATACTATAATATATACTATTCAGCATTTCTATT